TTTTGCAGGCATTGCCTGTACTGGCAAAGGCAAGCTTCATTTTCAGACTCCAGTTTGCTGATCTCATTCCTTAGGCTTTGAGCTTCACTTTCTGCTTCGAATGCTCGATCACTTTGGTCTTTCACATTCTCCTGTACTTGAGAGACCTTTCCCTCAAGACTGGATATTGTGAGTAGATATTGCTTGCTTTTCTCCAGTTCCGAATCTCTTTCAGCCTTTACCTTACTAAGGGATTCTTTCAAAGCCTGAAGTTCAGTTCCAGCATTACTTGCTTGTTCAATGAGAGTCACGGAATCCTTCTGTGCCTCAACCAGCTTTGACTCTGCAGCTGATAACTTTTCTAAGCATTGCTTATACTGGAGGAGGAGAGATTCCTTCTCCGCTTCTATATCAGTAAGTGCTTCCTTCAAGCTCTGAACTTCAAATTCTGCTATATCAGGAAGACCTCTTACTAACCCTCCATCCAAAAACTTTGAAATTTTTGAGGCACCATTTTGTCCTCCGATAATCTCATTCAACTGTTTCAAACCCTTTTCACTGGATTCAGCATCCAATTCACCAGGATAAATCCCAACCATCCTGAAATCATGTTTCCAGGATGACAAATTCTTTTGGAGGTCATCATCCGTTTCAGGCAATGCGCGGGCTGGAGGCAGAATTTCTGGAGTGTGAGGATCTGCCTCAAGTGTTGAAGCGCTTGAAGGTGAATCGTCGACCATAAGGAAAGGCATTTGGTTTGGAATAACCTCTGCCATTGCTTTGTGTGCATGCCGGAGCTCACCTGTCACGTAATCATATCTTTCGGCCAATGCACGGTACGCGCGATAGAACTCCTCAACCAGTTTTATCAGCTCAGGCCGCTTTTTATAATACATTTCGGCTCTTCTTGCAAACGAATCTGCATCTTCTTCTATCAGCTTGATCATTGCCTTAATTTTAGCATCCATATCTGTGGCAATCCACATTGCTTCAAGGTCAGCTCATACTTATATAGTGCTAGATAAATAAAATATACAGTATTACCAAAAGCTTCTACTTTGAGATTATGAACATATATCATAATCGAGTAAGAAGAAAAAGATTGAAATCAAAGCCACACACCAGTGAGATTTTCCTGAAGCCATTTTGAGTTCTTAGGGATGTGGCTGTCCCACCACCAAGAATACAGCCTCCTTGATTCGGAGCGGAGCATGGATGCCATGACTCCGGCAATGAACAAAAGTACAACTGGTTTTGACCTAGTGAAATCCCGGTCTTTGTACCACAAATTAAAATAATCAATCCAGGCCAGAATATAATTTTTTTTTTGCAAATCAACAAAAAAAAAATCCTTTCTTTAATTCTGGCAGCTCTGCACCTGCCAAATCGCAACTGCATAAGAAGAAAGTCCAACATGCATAAACTTTTCATCTGTTAAAATGACTTAGAAATTACCCAGAATTCTATAAAGCACACTAGTATGTTCATAGTGAGCATGCCAGAATAATGAAGCATTGCGATGCAACCACATCATGAGGTGGCGACATCGTAAATCTCCATTACACTATCGTGCTCCCATAGCTTTTCATAGAAATTACTGCAATCAACACTAAATAATACCTAATGAATAAATCACAAGCTAGAGACTCCCGGCCGGTAAACAGTCTTATTTCCCCAGCTTCAAAGCTCCCAAATCAAATCATAACTGGGTAAAAGAAGGAGATAAGCAAATGTAATCCAAAATCAGATCTTTATCAAGAGCAAATGATAATCTGGATAATGGGATATATTAATTTTGTTTTACTTTTCCAAACAAACCCCAGCAGCAAAGCATGACGGACTCCACACAGCAGAAATATTTTAAATCAATGAATAGACAGCAAACCCTTCTCCAACAAGACAAGAAAAGTTGGAATCATTAATAAGGACTGCATTAGAAACCAAGATAAAGAGAGAACAAACTTTATCAAAGACACAAAGGCCTGAAATTAAAGACAAAGGGCAATGATTTTCACCAACCATTACTATTCAGACAAACATAACAAAGATTGAAGAAATCTGGTGGGGAAAAAAACCAAACTCCAAAACCCCATGCTTGCTTGCCGACACTCCTTTAAAGGACAAAGTCGTTCACATGACCCCAAAAAGAAAATGAGAGACCGGTGTGAAAACAAAATTATATGACTAAAAAATCAAAGCAATGATTACCAAACACATGGGCCATTAGAAAGCAAAAAAAACACAAAAAAATGATCTTTGAAATAAATTACGAATGAATCCCGATGAAAACTCACCGGAACAGCAAAAATGGTTCATTTGGTGAGAATTCCAATCATCTTGATCAGCAGCTGTGATTTTTGCAGAATCACTGAGCTGCAGAATTCAACTCTCACGCCATTATTTAACTCTATGTTAATAAGGGCACTCAATTTTCTTTTGCAGCCTTTCAAAAATGCATCTGAGAATGGCAAATTTCTCTCTTTACTTTTTCTCAGGAAAAGAGCCAAACGGGAATGAGGAAATGATGGGTTCCTGAAAAGAGCAAGAAGGGCTGTACTGCCGTGCCCCCACTTGTTCAAACTCTTCTCGGCTTACTACAGAGGTTTATACTGTACGGGTGAATGGGCCGGGTATGAATTCCTTGAGTAAACTCCCTATATGTAAACAAATAAAAAAGGAGTGTAAGTCAGAGTTTTATTTCCTGACAGTGCAACACGGAGTTCGCTACTCCGTTTAATTTCGAAATAATGAACTAAACGGAGTAGGCTAGTCCGTTTCCCATCATTTAATTTCTCAGACGGAGTAGCCTACTCCGTTCGGATTTAATAATACCAAGACGGAGTAGCGCACTCCGTGTCTCTTCCAATCTCAGATCTTATCCACTTCCCCTCCCCATTTACCTTGGCCACCACACAGAACCCCATGCCGAGAGAAAGAAGAGAGAAGGAAAAGCTTGGCCGAGAGAGAAAGAAACGCCGAGGGAGAGAGAAGTGCGACGAGGGGGAGATCGACGGACCCAAGTCGACCGGAGTCAGGTACTCCGTTTCGTCTTTAATTTTTTTTAAAATTTGTTTGATTGTTGTTGTACAAGATTTAGTCATAGATTTGTATGTATAGGTGCTTTTTTTGTTATATTTGTTTTTATGATGTGAAAATATTGACAAATATATAGTTTAATCTTACAAATTTGATACGAATTTGTATGTATATATAGGGGGTTACTTCATGATTTTTTTTCAAATATAATTGTCTTGTTATATTTTTATTAATTGAGTATATTCTTATGTTGTAATCTTTGGAGCAAATGGATGTACATCCGGAACCTATTTTACGCGATGTTTTAGTAATTGAAGCGGGAGACCATAGGTGTGATGCGGTTTGGGCCGAAGAAGAATATGCTAAAAAAGTATTAAAGTGTCACAGGACTTGTACTACTTTGTATACGAGTACTCTTATTGTTAATAGACCGGTTCGTGTGAGACAGTTTTTACGAGAATACGGATTTCATGGGGTTGAGAGAGTTGGTGGCTTGCAATTGGACTGGGCTTTGATCACAGCTCTAGTGGAGAGATGGAGGCCCGAGACCCATTCATTCCATCTTCCCTTCGGAGAGGTTGGAATTACTTTGCAGGATGTAGAGGTTTTGCTTGGATTGCCCGTAGATGGCAATCCATTGGCGGGGATGACAGGCCGATCCAGAGATCAGTGGATTCAGATTTGTGAGGACATGAAGGGATTTAGGCCTCGAACATCCGACATTACTTCTACTATGATTAAGATGTCTGCCATTGTTCCTAAGGAACTAACAGATCAGAGTTTAGATGTAGATTACTTGCAGCATGCTAGAGCCATTATGTTTAAGTTGTTGGGTGGTAGCCTATTTCCCAACACGACCAGAAATAGGGTTAGTTTGTATCTTTTAGAGATTATCATGGGTGACGCAAACATTGTGCGAGGTCGTGCGATTGGTTCGGCAGTACTCAGTTACTTGTACCGTAGTATGTGTCGTGCTAGTGCGACGAGTGCAGCACAGATAGGAGGTTGTCTAGTCTTGTTACAGCTTTGGGCTTGGGAGCGTCTGCCTATGACTAGACCTAGAGGGGTTATACCATTGGATCAGCTGGTAGATGTCCCATATGGAGTCAGGTATTTGTAGTTTATTTATTTATATTATAAAATCATATTGTATGTTTCATTCATGGTTGTGCATAATCCTTCACTTGCAGATGGATGTGCTACCATCGATGGTCAGATTGTACCACACACTCCATACGAGCATACAGGGACCAGCTTGACAGATTGCTCGAGGGAGAGGTGAGTATTCAGAATATTAAGATGTTAGACATATATATTTTAGTTTGAATGTGTATCTTAGTATATGTTTATGCATGCAGTTTGTTTGGATGCCGTATCCGAATCTCGAGACCCTACCGCCCTATTGTTCAGCTGGAGTCGGAATATGGATCTCTAAAATCCCCTTGATCTATGCGTACGTAGTGGAGATGTACTATCCTGATCGCTTTTGCAGGCAGTTTAATGCCCTACAACACGTCCCTCAAGTTGTTGTCTACGATCGTCATCTACATCAAATTAAGTCAAATGTTATGCAAATTGGCGATGGTGAGAGACAGTATTTAGAGATGTGGGAGGGGCGTTATGACGCTACAGTGCATATGGAGTTTGGGATGGTGGATGCCACACCGCAGTATCGTCAGTGGTACTACCTTCGCGGTCGACGACAGATAGGGAACCCTGCCCATCCCAAACTGGAGCTACAGACAGCAGTAAGTATTCATAAAGTACATATCTCTAAGTTAAATTTTTTTAAACTAATCAATAATGTTGTATGTAGTTATACTGTATGGCGGATTGCAGTCAACGCCTTGATCCTGGTAGGCATCCAGATGGGTTTATACCTTCGCACGAGGTATTGAGAGTTCATGAGTTGTTAACAGAGTGTGTTCGTGCTCTGGGACATGCATCTATCCTTGATCACCCACAAGAGCAGCATGCCTACAACCCAGGACATATCAGGAGACGGGTAGATAGAAGGCGTGATGCACCTGCTGTCGGAGTCCGACGTGGAGGACGGGGTAGTCGGAGGTTGCAGGTCGATGATGAAGATGTACACATCCCCATTCAATCTCCCCCTATGACCCAGGATGATGATGATGAAGATGATGGTGAAGAAGAACATATTCAGAGTGACACATAGACACCTTCTTGCATGGTTGAGCCGTCTAGTTCACATCCTCCTGAATTCCACATAGAGCATCCTCCGAGGCGCATGCACAATGTATCACCAATGACGTTTGATGGAGATGTGTTTAGGGGCGATTTCTTTACTCAGGAAAGTCAGCTCACAAATGAGTTTGGAGAGTTTGTCTCCACTACTACACCGCCGGTAATCCAGCAGACAGTGGATGACGTAGAAGTGGAGGGTGAAGGAGAGCAGGGTCTTCGTCCATGACGTAATTGACGTCGTCCACGTTGTGGTACTGGTAGCCACTATCTTTAGTAGTTTTTTACATTTAATATATTGTGCTGGGTACTTAATGTTTTGAGATTCAAAACCATTTGTTTAGATATTCGTTTATTTTGAAATATTTGGTTTGATAACTTATTTTTTTACGGTGTAATGTTGAAATCTGACAATAATAATCACATCCACCTAAATAATAATACCCACTCCCAACTACCCCACTATAATAATATCCACCTAAATAATAATACCCACTCCCAACTACCCCACTATAATAATATCCACCCATCTCGCACCTACCCAAATACACACACCCACCTAACTAAAATAATACTCACCCCCAACTAACCTCACCCTCAACTAACCTCACTCTACAATATTATAAATACCACTACCTTCTTCATTTCAAATACACTATCCTTGATTACTCTACACCGAAATAAACAATGTCACAAGAGAATACTATACTTCTTGTAGCTCATTGGAATGGTGAGATACAAACCCTTAATAGTGAAGTTCAATACTCTGAGCTTCCGAAAAAGTCTTTGTTGTTTAATTCTGATATCTCCTACGACACCTTTCTTGGTCAAATTACTAGTGATGTTCTTGAAGATGGATTCCAGGGCGTGGAATCTGTCTATGGTAAATTCCCCAGACATCAATCTGGGGTTTATGTTGGTTCACGACCTCTCCCAATAAACGATGAACCAACATGGAGGCATTTTATACGGAAAGCATCACGTGAATACGATGTAGTTGAAGTATTCATCGGGGTGTCCAAAAATGTTGAGGAGGAAACGGATGGTAATCCATTCTTTCACCAACAAATGGATCAACCCTCTTCATCCCATTTCCCTCAACATGTTGATGGCGATCCAGATGATGCTGAGTATATTGCACCCTCAACGGAAGATGAGAAATCTTCTGAAGATGAAGAGGACATATCTACAGATGAAGGAGAAGATGGCCAGGACATTCGTGCAATACCACAATTACATGACCGGCAAAGTCACGTACCAAATATGCCGTTGAGGCCAACGTTCCACATCCCAATTATTGAGGTCGGCAACAGGTATCCTTCTTTCCAAAGTCTACAACAAGCTGTGTCTTTACGGAACATTGCGGAGCATAGACACTTTCACACAGAAGCGAAACGGAGCCGCTATTGGAAAGCACGTTGTGTATATGCCCCGCAATGCACTTGGTTCATACAAGCAGCAGAGAATGCTGGGTGTAGTATATGGACCATAAAGCAATATCAGGGGTACCACCAGTGTAGGCCGGATTACACGCGAGCTAAGGACGACAAATTATTAACTAGTGAGCTCATTAGTGGCCTGATTGGTCCTAAAATTGAAGAAGATGCTGATTATAAAGTCAAACTCATAATGAGGGATGTTTATGAGTTGTTCCAAGTATCCGTCTCCTATAAGAAGGCATGTTGTGCAAAGTCATTGGCCATTCAACGATTGTACGGTAGTTGGGAGGACTCATACAACAAGCTGGCTCCTTTGCTCGGTGCAATAATGGGATCAAACCAGGGGACAGTTGTGGATTTGCAAACCCTACCTACGAATGCACCGACTACATTTCAGTTCAGGTATGTTTTTTGGGCTTTCAAGGCATCCATTGATGGCTTCCACTACTGTCTTCCAGTTATTTCAGTGGACGGGACTCACTTATACGGAAAGTATAAGGGAACTTTATTAATTGCCGTGGCAATGACGGGAAATGGTGAGATTTTTCCCTTGGCTTTCTCCATTGTGGATGTTGAAGATGGTGAAAGTTGGAAGTGGTTCATGAAAAATATCATGCGACATGTCGTACCTCCACACCGCCATATATGCATAATATCTGATAGGCA